CAAAGGCAAAAGGCACGATGAGCACCGTTGTGCATAAAGGGGTAAGGTTTCCGCGGAATAGATGCGGAGTGCTGGACGATGTGTGGCTTACTCTCGGCGCAAGACTCCTTCAAAGGCTATTCAGGCTATAAAGGGGCAAAAGCTGGTCCACCTCGAAGTGGACGTGTCAACAGTGATGAGGTTGATAGCAGTCGTGTATGAGTGTTGTTACCAATCAATTGCTCATAGATCTATTTGGGTATCGCCAGAAAAAAAAAGCCAGAGAAACCGCTGAGAACCATCCCCACAGTATGCTATTTTGGCCAACGGTCAAGGGTTATCTCGGCCACGGACAGGTTAAAGACATACCCCAGCACTCAGCCAATTCGTGGGATTTCTTCCTTGCTCAAGTATTCCGGTGCATAGACGCAAAGATTATCCCTCTTTCGCGGCTCCGGATGACAAGAGGTTGTGGCCATCATCAGCTCCAATTATATACTGTATATCGTACGGTATACCGTATACAGCGCAATTTATGATGACCGCACCGCCTCGTCACTCATTGCGGAGCCACGAAAGTGGGACCTTTGCGATTCCGCATCAGACTACTTTGGCAAGAGAAGAATCCTACGAGTTAGTCAAGCGCGGGGTCTGTCTTTAATATCAAATGGAAGCTAAACGTTCCTTTTACCGACCCTTCTGTAGCTGTTATGTCCCATGGCCATTGCCCAAACTGCCATGCTGCGGATTTTTTGCGGTTTCTCCTGGTTTTCACTGCCGAATATCGTGCACCTCCACTTTCACTTCTGATTGATCATAAGTCATCGTGCCTATTGCCTTCAATGTACAAGAGAAGAAGAAATGCAAAAGTACAAGCGAATATAAACTTGAGGCGATATGAGGTGGAATGGAGAACTGTTTATAGACATGGAGAAAATTCAGTTAGATCGATTCAAATGACCTGTCAAAAACAGGCTTTTGATTTCTAAATACGACTACAAAATACCCGCAAAATAGAGATAGTAAATAACTACCTCCACAGGATTAACAACTGGGCCAGCAACATACAGCAGAGAATTCAATCCCCTTTTTCGTATACATCTGAAGGAGACAGCTAACGAAGATCGAGCTAGTGTCAACGCTCACAACATCGAGCCTATGGAAGGCAAACGATCGTTCGATCTTACAGAGTCATCCGATTTCACCAGGCTCTTCCTGATGGAATCTGCGATGTTGAACAGATCATTATGAACACCCGACAGGAACAAGTGCGGTGTTCATCGCTTCTTCGTCTTCTTCTTCGCTTTACAACCACAGTAGAAAAATTCATCATCAGGAGCTTCTTCACGCCCCAAAATGCAGATGTTGTGGAACCAGTTCTGACAGTCGTCACAGAATATCTGTAATGTCAATGTGTTGCAAGACAATAATCTTTCTTTTCTCACTACAACTTTTTCATTACCGAAAACAATCACAAAGGTAGTTCATCACCCGACCAAAAGTGACTACTTACTGTATCTCTGCCGGTGCGGTAATGCTCTACACATTTACTACTTCATGTGGAGGGAATGAATGAATCTTGGCGCCAATATTCACTGCTTCTTAGGTGACAGTGTGGGCTGATTAGGGTGTAGTGCAGGAAATCCAGGGGTCAGGAGTCATCGACGCGCTAAAACTAGGTTACCGCGCGTTGAAAATCACCGGATTCAGTATTTCTACCAGTTCAAAACGCAGTTAGCCCTGGACTGATGATGAGAGCGGTGCGAGCCGCCTGCCACTGCCACTGTTCGCAGAAAAAATGTTGGAAGGAAAGTTTTGCTGAGTGTCAACATTGAGTGCAACTGATTTACTTCAATGCTCTCAGAAACACAGCACTCAACCTTTGCGAGGAAAAATGGGCTCATTTCGGCTTGTTGGGGAGATGCGGGCACCAAATGGAGCTAGACGAAGGTCGAAAGGAGCGCCCTGCTAAGGCCTGTTCGGTGACCAAGGTGGCTCCCTTGTACCATTTTGCAGCTTCATAAGAGTTCACAGGTATCTCTTTTAGGCCAGTTGTCATGAACTCCTTGGAAGATCAAGCGAAAGTGCGAAGTGCTCCTCCCTTCCCTCTCCCTCTACCCCCCCCCCCTCCTAAGGCGAACAGCGCCTTACTTACACAACTCTCACCAACTAAGACCACAAGTTCTTACAATGGTCTTGGACCCAGGCCATCTCGTACTGGAGAGCCCTTGGTGGGAGACCTGGTCGAGGAAGGAGGCTCGGATATAGCGTGAGAAAAGTGTTGATAGCTGATTTGTCCTGTTTCGCGCGCGCAATCTACGTCGCTGGGAGAATTCCAATCGGGGAGGGGGTGGGGAGGTGCCGTATTTGCTCCTTGTTGAGAGAGGGAGGCGTTTTGCCTTGAAGACAGCTTTGTGAGCTTCAAAGAAAGCCTTCCCAGTTCTTTTCGCGGTTTTCCCTGTCTCATTCATGCTTACACCCACTTCTCTCCGAAACTGGAAGCTTGAGGAAGCTGAGGAAGATGGTAGGGGATGGAGGCGGGGGTCGGGGGGTGGTCCAGAAGAGAAAGTAGGAGAGTTGTATTTCCCGTAAATTTCCCTCACAGGCAAGAAGTGCCCCGCTTGGAACACAAATCCCTATGGTCCAGGGAGCTCTGTTTGTGCACCATAAATTCATTCGGATTTAACACAGGAACTCTTCTATTCACAGTAATGAGGCGCTTGAAAACACTATAAACAGCCATTGTCTTTAGATACCGCGGCATTTTTACATTCTGCTAAACGTGCGAAACAGAAACCAAGCTATTTACTAGAATCTCCTTACAAACTCTAGTGAAAACCAGTGTTACTATCAGTCACTATTCTTAGCAAACCATGAAAACAATCAAATCAAAGAAAGTATTCAAATCACATACCCATCCGACTTGCTCGCTTTGCGGCCTTGTACATTCAGCATTCAGTGCACAAGTTGTGCTAGGATCGTGCTGCGTGATCGCTTCCTCGTCCGTATTCGTATCTTGACGTTTTCGACTTGCCGCCTGCGGAGACAGAGTAAAATACAGAGAAATTTTGATTCAACTATTAACACTAAAGTTATTCAAAAGCACACTCAGCGTTCACTCGATCTTCAGACGCACTTTTTGGACATATAATCCGCAGGTATGGCCCTGATGCCCTTTGCACGCGCTCCGTTTTGGCTGCTGATGTTATTTAAGAAGTTTGTGACCGTCATTATGTACAACCCTAATTACTCCACTTCCTCCCTCCCCTCCCTTAACGATAAGGCAGGCGGGAGGAGAAAGGATTCCCTTCAGACTCAGCGTTAGCAGAGCGCAGATGATCGTAGTGTCCTCCATTAGCGCCAGCGCCAAGAATGAATGTCATATTCGTAATCAGGATGTTAAATAACCCCTGTATAGACGTTTCAAGCGGATTTGATGGTCTAGGCACTTCATAAAAGAGTCAGTAGCCAAAAGTGAGCGCGCCCAAAAAGCATTAATCCGAGCATGAAGGATATACTACTTTCGCAACTCAATAACAGTTGAGGAAAGCGCGACCCGCTCGTGACGAATCCACGGCTCCGCCCGCTGGCCACGACAACGCCTAACTTTCATTTCTAAAGGAAAGGTATGGTGATGCGGTTGTTCCGCTACTAGCTCTCTCTCCATTTGAATGGTGAGGTGATGTGATAAGAAGAAGTGCTGTTTCCA